GAGAGAGAGAGAGAGAGAGAGAGAGAGAGAGAGAGAGAGATTCCACCGCAGGAATACATTTCAATGAGCGAGATTGTTATCGTCGCGGAGAAGCCTCGGAAAATTAACGTGCCTCAAACTGTTATGTTGCACCTGGGGCTGTGATAGTCAGTTTCGTCTTTTTGCGCCCAACGAAGCTGCGCGAAAATTTTCTTCCGTATACTTCTGCTGATACGCGTCTAAGGGAAATCGATTTCTTTAATACATTCGCTGAGTCGACGCTGAAACCTATTAGCGTGCTCCATTATGCGCTGTCAGCTACATGATCTTCTGTGATCGATATTTTACGATGATATTCGAAACTTGTAATTTACGGATTATTATACACAATTAATCGCAATTACACGGCATTAATCTCAGATTCCGATTTTTTGAATAACTTTTTTTTATTATAATCCTCGTACAAACGCGCGGATCGAATTTCAAACGATAATTCGATACACTTTGTCACTTCGTTAAATATTTATTCACATAAGATAAATTTCTAGCACTGGATAAACTCATATCTTACACGAGGTACAATGCTACGTTATATAAGGTTACGCTTTTTTTCCACAAGATGTGTATAACTGGCATTTTTCGAAGAAAAGTACACGACATTATATGAGAGGGGTCGACTTTTGTAACATGATATTGCGTGAGATACCATTCTTGAAACAATAAATCTCTCGAATCTCTCCACCGCACCACGGTATTTCCCCGAAACGAAAAACTCGGAGTTAACCACTCACATACGTGCAATTCTCTATCCATGCATGGCGTTGCTTTGATTCTGAGATAAACGATAAGCAAGTCCCGCGCAAACTCCGGCCGCAGGTATATACAATGCCAGCATGTCGCATAGCTTGCATTGCGACGTTCGAAACCTCCTGACAAAGGCCGCTCTTCCTCTTTCTCTCTTCCCATTTCCCTCTGCCTTTCTTTATTCTCTTCGCCATCGGTGTCTCTTTCAGCTTGTCACATCAGTTCCTTCTTTTTTCGTTTTAGAGATATTTCCCACGCCGCGCCGTTCGTTACATGTCGCGGCCACAGTCTCGATAATTACATTGCGGTTTGTTTTAGCGTTATAATAGATGCGAATACCCTTGTTCATAGTTATTGTCGAGTTATCCCACGTTTTTTTTTACTTTTTTTTTACGGTATTTCCTGAATGAATTTGCCCTAAGTGTTTAATTACGATCTTGATAAGGCGGTTAGATAAAGCAGTTTCTGATAATAATTAATTTACGAGTAGCTATACAGCCATCCGCTCGACCGGCACGCCTATAGTATATCTACGAGCATCGGCCGTCTTATATTGTTTGTAATTGACCGTAACGATTCGCGCGGCGTGCACTGTGTGTGCGCCCATCATCGATCGTCGCTTCCGCCGTTACAAACGGGAAGTAAAGCCTGCAAAAAAGGTCGTCAGTACGGTTTACGGTGCCTCATTCTGGCTGCCGGCTTGAGAATTATATAGCGCGCAGACACAACGTGTAAACGTTGTTCCAAGTCGACGTTCGAGTCGAACGATGCAATTATAGTTGTACGTTTCTATTATCTTGAGCGATTATTCCTCGAGGATGCTGTACAACGGATCAAAATGGACGTAACTTTAAGAAAATCTTGAAAATTTGTAAAATTTGACGCATAACGATTCTTTATTTATTGACGCATACATTTGTAAATGGTCGTAAAACTCGTATATAATTTGCATATTCTTAGTATGTTTCAATTTTTGCTAAAGGAAAATTGATTGCAAAATTATTGAATAATCGCTGAAGAAAAAATGTACAATGGTAATTACGTAGTAACTGTTTGTTGCGCGATCTTGAGATAAGTCCTTTTTATTTTTCTCTATTTCGTTACAGTTCGTGAAACATTAGCCAACTCATTACATGTGTATTGCAGAGATAATCTTTAAAAACAGTAATTACATAGAATTAGCATTGTTTCTTGCAGCAATGAATTTTACTTATAACAGGAAAAGCATTAATTTGAGTCATTAACGTATTCTATACATATGGATCTAAAATTTCTACTTCATTCATTGTTAAGCGGCCTGCATTTTTCTTGACGAGCTCGACATGCAATGCGTGCGCAAAATGACGCTACTGCACGCAGTTCCATTACTTAAAAAATTATATAAAAGAGTTTCATGGTTGCAGAGACTTAGACTTTATGTACCCAATTATATTTAACTTTTATGATAATGCTGTACTTTTTATACTTTTTCTTACATAGGTATATTATTTCACTTTTTATTAAATGTAGTGCATACTAACTTGCATTACTAAAGTAAATCTTGGATTATACAAAATGGAAATAATATCTAATACTAAAAACTTGTATATGAAAGACAAGCTCTAAAAGTTATTAACATCAGTACTTTTCTTTTTGATTAAAAAAAAGTTCTTTTTGTATTGCAGCAAAACACTATTAAAATTATCGTAATTTCTATACATGACGCACAGTGCACATGAATCTTTTTTTGGGAAATCAAATAAATAAAGTTTTTAAGTTTTTTAAAGATTAATAAGTTTTAAATAAAGATTAATAAGATTTTTCTAATGATTTTATGAATTAGTCAGTTTTAGCTTGTAACTCTTAAATTTTTATAAGTACGTGACGATATTGACACATACATAAAGTTT